CTAAAAGATTTCAGTTTGTTGTTCAACTGAGTTGTACAGTTTATAGGTTACATTAAAGGTGGAAAAAGTTCTAAAATGATTTATCTATGTCTCATTGGTGTGGTGTGTTTTTTTTTTTTTTTTTCTCTACATCACAGGAACCTGACATTTTAACAGGGGTATGTAGACATTTTACATCGTGTGTGTGTGTACATATAATATATTTACATGAACTTTTAATGGCATCCTAGTCCATAGGGTTCAATATTGAGTTGGCCCACCCTTTGCCGCTATAACGGCTTTATCTCTTCTGGGAAGGCTGTCCACAAGGTTTAGGAGTGTGCCTATGGGAATGTTTGACCATTCTTTCTCTATCTAAATTTTTTTTTTTTTCTGGGTACTGTATTGCGGCTAGGGTGTAATGAGGCTTATACAGAGTTCTGCTAAGCTAGGAGTGTGATGAAGCTTGCAGTTCTAGTGTAATGCCAATTAATTGTGTTTTCATTCATGCCATTCCTCCACTTTCATCATGATGGGGAAATATAAGGAGCACTTCTCTTCTAGAAATGTGCTTTGCCCTTCTTTATTTGTTTTTTTTCAATGGAGTAGATGGGGGGGGGGGGGGGAAATAGAGTAGGAAATGCAAAAAATGGTTGCAAAATGTGCAGTGTGTTTGGGTGCCATTCGTTCTTCCTGGCACCCCAAACATGGTAAGACTTTTGAATATTACGTCAATATTTTCAGACTATTGCTTCAAGTGCAGCAAAATGCATTGTGAAAGCTATCTCCCAAAAGAAGCTCCTACTTCTCTTTGGTTGACAAGCTTTTCATGGTGTTTTGCTGCGCTATTCTGTCTCGTAACATTCCTGGCAAAATCGCAACATGTTTGAGGTGCCACTAAGAATGAATGACACCCAAACATGGTACATTTTTGCCATGATTGTAATGTGAATTTGAATCGTGGCAATTCTGTCCATGGCCGCCAAGTATGAATGAGCATCAAACTTTGTCTCAGAGATGCATCAGGAAGTGAGAAGAAATGTCTACAAACTGAAGGGTCATGCTGTTAAGAAACAGCCATCGACGATGAAGATTTACCCTTGCCTCTGGTTCTGGTGGCTACTGTAGAATTTTGGATTCCTCTGCGCTTTGTGTGGCAACAATGGTCACCAGGATAAATCTATCCATAGGGGATACAGCAATAAAAATGTGAATGTATGTATAATAAATATAAAAAAAAAGTATATTTACACATGTATATTATACACACGCACACCTCAGCATAACTGAGTATACCCCAACAAATTTGTCAGAAAACCTTTTACTTTCCTTTCAGAATCAACATGTTCTATGGGACACTTTACTACAAAATACAACCACACATGCAGGCCATTGGTTGCAAACAAGATTTGTTTATTTGCATACACAAAGTAATTTTCCTTTACAAATTCATTCAAGGCCATGTTGCAAAAATGAGTACACCCAACTGGAAGTCTTAGGAGCAAAGCTAAATTTTCAACCTCAAAATCCCGATTGACAAAAATTCAACTACAGGTGAGTCTAATTATTCATTAAACAGGTGTCCAGCAGACAGTTGATTATAAAAGGGCGTTACTTAATAAAGAGAACCCCTCCCTTTTCATGCTGTCGGCAATGTCATCACATGTAAGAGAAATGTCACAAGGCCTGAGAAAGAAAATAATTTCTTTACACAAGAAAGGCGAAGAGAATATCGACATGAGTACTGCTGGTGTCGGGGAGCTGCATTTCACAAATGGTGTCATGAATTCACAGATGTACTGTTCTATATTGAAAGAGAAGATGCTACCATCATTCCATGCCCTTGGTCGTCGTGCACTTCTCCAACTTGACCATGATCCAAAACATACATCTAAGGCCACAGTTGCATTTCTAAAGGAGAACAGGGTGAAAGTATGTCTTATCTCAAGTTCAGCATCACTCTCCATCCAACATCCAGGCCGTAAAAAGAAGTTGTTCTTGAAGAATGGAAAAAGATAGATGTTGCAATATGTCACCAACTTGTTCATTCCATGACTAGAAGACTTGGTGCTGTCTTTGCAGATCATGGAGGTCATACAAAATACTAGATGGATTATTTATTGTTGTGGGGTGTATTCATTTTTGCATCAACTAATTTGAGTAAAAGTAAAGATTTTATAATCTAAGTTATAGTATTAACCTTAATTTCACCACCATAGATGAAGCGTGTACTGGGGGTCATAGTGGGCAACCAGCGGATTTATGAAAAGTAACAAATCTGGGACATGAGTAATGCAGGAGAAGTGTATTTTATATTGTGCTAGAGTCTCTTCACTCAAATGTATCTCTATGTAGACCAAATGATGCCAATATATCATAAGCTGTTTAAAATAGAAGCCAGTCCTCTTACTTCTCATGCCTCCCCAGTTGCTTAATTTTAGCTTCGTACACAAAGTATAATTTTGAAAGCTAAAAATAAAACCCCTCTGACTCGTGAAATAATTTCTAACAATGAGTTTCCCAAACGCTGGCCTGGCTTAGCCATACACACAATTTGGGCTTCAGGACGTGGAAGCTGTACTTTTTTTTTTTTTTTTTTTTTTTTTTTTTTTTGTGATTTGTGCAGAGCGCACAGGCTTTTAGCTAGCAATTCGCAGTTATTTAGAGGTGGTAATTTATCATTCCTGGAATTAAAATCATATGGTTCTGATTTTCAACAGTGCTTTTACCCATAACAATCCGTCAAAGCCAAGCAGAAAAACTTTTCATGTGATTTATGGCTGCAGATTTGTGGTTTAACTTTTCTCAGGGCTGAATGGGAGGTGTTTACTGGGATTTTCATGTTTATTTTAATCCCTTGCTCACGAAAATAGGAACCGTGTTGATTAGCCAAGTCTGGGAAGTCTGACTCCAAACCTTATTTTTTTTTTTTTTTTTTGTGGTTATTCTTAACTTAAATCCAGGCAGCTAGAAAGAACAATCATTTAATCCTGTTATTGAGTCATTAAAATCCAACTGAAGCTTAAATTGGCTAAATATATTGAAGGTACAGCAAAATGAAAGATGTTAGAAAGCAGCAACAGCCTGAGTGGAAGCCAGTTCCCTGCCAGCGAACTACAGAGAAGAATCCTTGCTCTGGGTGAAAGCAGTGGTCTCTCTGCAGAGCTCACCAACCACTGAATATATGCAGAACTTTTAAATATGGTTCTAAAGACTGAAGGTTTTTTTTTTCTTTTACCTTCATTCTATGCATGGAGGTAAGAAAAAAAAAAAAAACCTGTGTGAAGCTACTGCCTCCCCCCAGCCCCCTTAAACTTAGCTAAACTCCATCTGGATCCAGTGATGTGCACAAGAGCAGCAGCTCTCTCCCTCCTCCATTAGCTCAGGATATCGGCTCAGCAGGAACCATTGGCTCCAACTTCTGTCAATCACAGCCAGTGATGAGGGAGCAAGGGGGCGAGGCTGAGCCATGTCCTTTGTGTCTATGGACACACAGAGCAGGGCTTGGGAGCGAGCATGCATGAGAGTGCCTCCATAGCAAGCGACTTGCTTTTGAGGGCACTCAGCTGGGGGGAGAAGTCAGGATCATCGGCGGGGGACCCGAGAGGGAGGATTGGGGCTGCTCTGTGCTAAACCATTGCACAGATCAAGTAAGTATGACATGTTTAAAAAAAAAAAAAACAATTTTACAATTTTTACACTTTTTTTTTTTTTTTTCTTTTTAATAAATCAACCTGGAGCTTGAGCTTAGCTGCTTGCAGAGCTATGGGTCAGACTTCTGCAGAGAGACTACTGGTTCCGGACAGACCACAACTGTCCATTTCTACAGTAAGCTTACAGAAAGACTTTTCTGATTGTGCTGTGAATGGTTTCTAAGGAAAATGACCTGTGAGGCCTCACGTACGTGGGTGCATTTGAACATGCGACATGCTTTTATAGGCATATTAACGTGCTAGGGATTCACGGCTTCTATGTACAGCTACCCATAGTGATGAATGGCTGTACGTGGGTTTACACAGCGACTTGCATGACCCCATTCAGGCTTTCAAACCTGGATACAGATAGTACGTGTCCAGTGGATGCAGGTTTACACAAATGACAGCATAAAGCAATCTACAAATATTAGTTTCATTTTCACGGCATTCTATCATTAACGTTTTTACTAAAACTGCCGCACACAGGATCCGGTGTAGCTGTGCATAGTAACCAATAGGCTTCTAACTTTACCTTGTTCAGTTAAGTGTTGACAATAAAAGCTGGAAGCTGATTGGTTTCTAAGCAGAGCTAGTAAAGACATAGAGCAATACTCAACACAGAGTGACAGACTGTAGGGGCATATAACGGGCTCCTATGTGCCACGTCCAATGGTGATTAGTATAATAAACCAAAAGGAAATAAAAAAGGCACTGCAACAAAAATGTAATTAAAATCACTTTTATTATTTGAATGTAGACCATTACATAACAATGCATAAAGGTTGTTCTGCTAAGAATGCTGTTATATTATCTTATACTTTTATAGCCAACTTTTTTTCATGTAACTCCTGAAGAAGCGATACTCTCGCGAAACATGTCAAGTAACTACAGAGTAACTATAATTACTGACCTCTGACCTATGTCTTTTGATACCCTTACCGGAACACTGTATATTTGTATAAAATTTAAACTATTATTGACGAGTTTTGTAATCTGCATAGAATGCTCCACCCCTCCCTGGGGGTCTTGTATTAGCGGAATAACCTTTTATGCATTGTTATGTAATGATCTACATTCAAATAATAAAGTGATTTTTAATGATATTTTTGTTACAGTGCCTTTTTTAAAGTCTGCAATTTGGCTTTTTCTATGCAGAGCTACACCTGATCTTGCACTCTCCAGTTTTAGTAAATCTCCCCCTATGTGTGCTGTTGAGATCTGTACAAGTGTCTAATTTCAGTGCATATGGCACTTGGAAGGGTGGTGGGAATATATGGCTCTCATAGCAGGTCCAGACTGATACAATTATTATTTTTTTTCTTTTTCTATATAGTGGTGTACGAACATCGCTCAAGGCTTGAACGCTCTTTACAAAAAGAAAAGGGTGAACACAAGAAAACGAAAGAAGGTCAGACATTTAATTTCATTTTATTATTCCACAAGATCAGATGCAGAATAATATGTTAATTGTAAATCCAGGATGCTATTGCTTTTATCTGCAATCAGGCTTCTTCAGTGTATTGCAAAGATCAGTAAGCCATAGGAAGTAATAAGACGCCATTTAACTGAAGTCATGTCAGTGATGAGATGAATGGTGTCTGATTGGTTGCAACGGGTTATGCTGCCCTTGGCATATTATCTCTTTTCACAGAATTCCTAAATAAGCCTTGTCATGGAATGCTATTGAAGGAATTACCCAGAGAAAATCAAGCATAATTTGGTCCCTGCATATATCTATTCTATATTTACTTAATAGAAGAATAGGTAATGGCTGCTTGGTTGAAAATATGTCATTAAATCATACATAACCCCGAAATATAAAATGCTCTACTGCTTTCCTTTTGTCTTCCTGTGTCAGTCTCTACAGGATTGAAAATTTAAGACTCACCACAGATGTTCCAATACTACTTTTCAATCTCTATACCACCAACTTTAGATTTACCAAAACTATGTAAGATTAGAAACTTTCTAAAATATCCAATCAAGCTGACCCTTGCACTAAATATTTGTAGACCGATCTAAAGAAGACTGTTCAGATTGTAACATGTATGGGAGCTTAAAGCTGAACTCCGGGTATGATCTTTATTGCATACTTGCATTGGTCCAGCTTGGCAGCTGACAATCGCTGTAAAAATTGGTGCTACTACAATGATAGCCACAATATTTCATGTCCTGTGCAAGCTGCTTCCCCTCTGCATACTAACCACTGGGGGTCACTTGCTGGACACTGTCACCATTCATAGAACGCTTTGTATTATTTTTTTATTTTTTTTTTTTCCAGCGAATACATGGTGTTCTCTGATTGGAGGCAGGTTGGTGATGTCATTACCTCTTCCTTATCCAGTCTGAGAATGTATTGCATTTAATGAAAAGAAAAATACAAGGTGTTCTGTGAATGAAGGCAGTGCCTAGTGAGCACCCCCCTCCCCCACTGTGTGTAGTGGGAAAGCCAATTGCACACAACCGAGAAGATAGCAGCCGTTACTGTAGTACCTTGGCATTGATTTTGTCTCTGGTATAGGAGATACATACTAGCATTCTGCCAAGCTGAACCAATGTAAATATGCAACAATGTTCATAACCTGGAGTTCAGCTTTAAGAGTACTCATAGACCTGGCTGGAGCAGGTTCCTGCCAAGTCCCACCTGTTCTCTGCTTCTATAATACTTTTGAGGTCAAAGCTTTTGGTGGGTGGGAGTGTCCCGTGTGAAACAGAAGTTGTGATTGGTTACCTATACCTTGCGAGCCCGTTAGTACCTCTAGTTCAGATAAAACCCATCCTTGGCTACAGCTCAGACCCAGTAGTTTTGAAAAAGCAGAGCTATAATTTTTTTTGATGTCCCTTTTGTAAAGGCAAAATACTGAAATGCACAATATAGGCAACCTACAGGACATCAGTAGCTGGTAAACCTTTGTCACCTGCCATTTTTGTACTTGCCTGTAAAATCCATTTTTTGGAGTACATCATGGGACACAGAGCGGGCTTAATAACCATAATTACCTGGGCCATGCACAATCTCTAGATGAATGGACACTGGGATACAAAGATGGGAAGTCCTCCCTTTATAACCCCACTTCCCAGAGAGAGTCAGTTTTTTGCCAGTGTCAGAAGGTGATTGTAACTGATGTGCAGCTGTCTGCACAGTATTGCCAGATTCCCAATGGTTCCTGTGGGGAGCAGGGTGCTATACAGGTCCAGGGCTGTGGATCCTAGGATAGGTGGATAGAGTTCCTGAAGGTCAGGCTAGACATTGCCTGCTGTGATGGGTGAAGACTGGATCCTGGTTTCTGTAATCAGATTCTGCAGCTTGAGTGGTAAGATCCAGGTAGTCTTGGTCCCAGGAAGCTAACTCCTGTTATTACTCCTGGTATTGTTGCCTGTCCGTTCCTTTCCCCCTGTAGGGCGCTGGTATTTTAGCTCTTAAGCTTTTTGGGCTCTCTGCTAGGCTGAAAACCTTGTTGGTGTCTACAGTGTGTTGCAGTTGTATGTCCACCACTGCCATATTTGGTTCCATTTTTTTAGTTTCAAGGCTGACAGGTTGGGGGGGGGTGTGCGAGCGAGAAAATGTGTGAGAGCGTGCCATTCGACCTAAGACTCCTGTCTGCATGTCCCAATATTTCCTCCGCATAATAAGTTTCCCTGCTTTTGGTTATAGAGAATCAGCATTTTTACTTTGTGGCCTTGCCATTTTGGTCTGGCCACTACCCCTCGAGTTTTCTGAAAAATTCTGGCTCCTGTTCTGGGTATTTTTGAGGGTCCAGGTGGTGCCCATTTTAGGGTATTTGGATGTCCTGCTACTCATAGGTCTAAACTTTGAATGCTTGCGAGCTGCTGTGTAGAATTTTGGGCCTGGCGGTCTTGTGACCAATACCCCCAAGAAGGTTATGTTTATTAAGCTTATTCTGTTTCCCTTGATGTTCGAAAAAGAGAACTTTTGTTCTTGCCTGTAAAGTCCACTTCTTGAAATACATCACAGGATACAGGCATCTCTCCCCTCTCTATTGGGGTATTGCTTCCCACAAAACTGATGCTCTTCCTGGGAGGAGGTTATACAGGGTAGGACTTCCTGTCTGTCAGTGTCTATTCACTTGTAGGTGGCGCAAAAATTGGGTAGTTATGTTTTTTTAGTAAGCAGTGTCAGTCAAAATGTAAAAACTGGAGCTGTTAACTTTGAAAAACAAAAAACAAAAAAAAAAACCCAACACTCGCCTGTCCCTCGATCCAGCAGTGTGCTCACCGGCCATCCTCTCATGCCAGCATCTTAAGTGTGGGCACCCGGCTGTGACAGCTTGTGGCTTCACAGCTGGGTGCCCACTGTGCATGGGCGAGTAGCGCTGCACCTTGTGAATGCTCTTGTATTCTTCTGGGAACTGTCGTGTCTCAGAAGACTATGGGAAGGGAGGGCAACTTCTTGCAATCGCCTAGGTGGGAGCAGGTATCTGTAAAATTGGGTACCTGCTCCTTAACGAGGAGCATGGGAGATGAGGCCTTAAAACGGTACATCCCTTTTTGGGTGGAGTTCCACTCTAAGCCTGCTCTTGTCCCACGATGTACACCAAGAAATGGAGTACATCTTTACTCCATCATTACCATTTTTATTATTTGCATAGAGTGAAGAGTCATTTGAATCTATCAGGTGTTTTGTTTTCTGTGTCCTCATATTTGTTCACCAATTGCGCTGACCGTGAACAAAAACATTCACAGCAGAGGAATAGAGGGTAACTTTCCAATGGGGGCACCTAGTTATGACAACCAGGGATTTCCTCTCATTTCGTGTTTTAGCTGTGGGGCAAGAAATGAAAAAGAAATCTCCCTAATAGGACACAGAAGGCCAAAACTACCTGACTGGGTTATAACCCTCTTATACTATTCAAAATATGCAGGGGCCTTTCAAATGGATCCACTTCAAATGATTTAGATAGATCTCTATATTATAATTTTATTTTTTTATTACTATTTTATATCTTGAGCTATCATGCTGTTCAGACGTGTCTTGCATGGTCAGGTTCACAGAGATTCTTTTGTACTTAATAATATGTTTTAACTGGAACTCTGGAGAAATGAGTCTTGATCTTTTCTGTGTTTGCTTTTGTTGAAATCCTTTCAAGAAAATGAATAAGTGTGATGTCTCTTCCTGTTTGCACAGATTATTTAGTCTATAAACTGGAGGCACAGGAGGCCTTGAACAAAGAGAAGGTAAGTCCTTCCCGCAGAGGGGCTCTCTAGCAGCTGCAGAAAAATGCTGGTATGTTTTGGCACATACAATGCACATGTTCCTGAAAGTGTACAGAATGCTTGATTTTTTTCTCCACCTCTCTAAGGGTGTAACTGTCTGGTTAGCATATCTGTATGTCTGGAGAAAAATAATCAAGACTGCTACATGCCAAGGGAAATCATACAGTAAGTTGCTAATGTTGCAAACGCTGTTGCTGATTTCTTACTTGCTAAAGTGGGATCGAACGAGTCAATGTATCTCCTGAAAATTAAAATCATTGCCAAGACAGAGGGTCTGACTGCTAAAAACAAGGTCAAGTCCCAGTGTTATGTTACATTTTGCCATACCGAAATCCCATTAGATGCGTAGCATGCTTTCCTAGATCTCCAAATAAAGATAAAACTTGTGTTGACTGTATACTCATCAAAACATTTGATACATTCAACCGTTAATTAAATAGCACAAACCTGTTGGGGGGTGGTGGTGATGGTGTTCTTTTTCCCCCTTTTACTAACCGTTTATCCAGGGCTTTCCTCAATTCACATACTCTCCTGCCCAGGGGATCCAGCATTGGCCTCCTGAGATCTGCTGTGTTGCCACACGTGCATTTTTTTCCTTGCTGCCTCTTCCTGGCCACCATCGTTTGGCCACTGGTAGATGGAGAGTGAAGCATCCTTGGATATGTGATATACATGCACCTTGGGGCTTCAGAGCCGTTAAGATGTCAGGCACATCTAGACAAGAATGGCAAATGGGGGTGGGCACAGTAGACAAAAATTGCTGTTTGTAGACTGTGGAGGGTGGGGAAGGAGAGAAATGATGCCCAATGCATCTGGGGTGAACGTCTGCTTTAAATTGCCTAATTTCTCCTTTGTGTCTTTTTTTTTTTTTTTTTTTTTTTGGATTGAACCAAGCCTTGTATAATGAACGTTTTGCTCATTCCACCTTTTTTGTTTTACAGCAAGATTCTATGAATCGCTATGGGGCCCTAAGCTCGCAGCACAAGATTCTTAAGGTAATCGACGTACAGCATGTGCTTAAAGTTCATGCTGATGGAAACTGCCAATTTATCTTGATGTCTTTTGTAAGCTTCTTGTGTGGGTGGTGGATGTATTCAAAACCACCAGAGTTTAATGTCCTTTATCCATAAAATATAACAAATGTAATAGAGTATAACCTTTTTCTCAGAACTCACCATATATGTGCACACTGTCGGATTATGTGATCTTTACATTCTTTTACTGAGTTTCAGATTCCCCAGAGGTATAAATTAGTTGCAGAAAGTATGCGGAGGTTTGCAGTCAGAAGCAGGTGGCAGTAAAGGATGGTGGTTGGTTGGTCTGGTTTACCACTACCTTTTTGTTTTAAGTATCTTGCAGCTAAATTGGTTCATAAGCTGGCCATACACTATACAATTTTCTTACAAATTTCTGTCCAATTTCTGCCCAATTTCCTTTAGATTTACCTTCAGCTGTGTAGTACAAGGGCCTGCCTAATTGGATACAACTGAAAGTGTTTGTTGTTTGGGTTTGACCTCCTATTATGTGGTTTTTGGTAAATCTAAAGCAAAAATCTCAAGAAAATTGTATAGTGTATGGCCAGCCATAGTCTGCAACCACCAAGCTGTGCATAGCCACCCATACAAACTGCAACTCTTCAACCTAGCTTTGAATAACTGGGAAGGTTGAAGGGCACAAAAACGTCTTGGGAATGGTGTGGATAATTGAGGAAACCCTCCAGCCATATAACCCTCCAGCCCCCTTCCTGCCCAGGCCAATTTCTCAGCTTTCAGCACTGTCGCACTTTGATGACAATTGCGCGGTCATGCAACACTGTACCCATATGACGTTTTTTATAATTTTTTTCACACAAAGAGAGCTTTCTTTTGGTGGTATTTAATGACCGCTGGGTGTTTTTTGTTATTTTTTTGCGCTATAAACGAAAAAAAAAAAGCAAAAAATTTGAAAGTTTTTCTTTGTTTCTATTATAAAATTTTGTAAACAATTTTTCTCCTTCACTGATATGCGTTGATGAGGTGGCACTGCTGGGCATTGGTGGGTGGCACTGCTGGGCACTGATCATCAGTGCCCTGACGTCCGGTGCCGATCCGTCCTCTGACAATTGCTGGCTATCAGCAGTACTTTCCTTATGCTGTGACAGGCCTATGATTGGCCTTTTACCACATCACGTGATCAGCTATGTCTGTAGGACACAGTGATCATGGAGATCGTTGGGTGTGCACCACCGGGGGCATACAGGAGGGCGCATTTTGAGAGGATGTCATATGACGCCCTCCCAGAACTGGACAACTGCATTAAAGGAATCCATATTGCCATATGGCCCCTGCAATTGCTAACCTACTTTTGAAACTTCTAGTTGCCCGGTTGTCATTGCATTCAAATTCACTTACCTAGAACAAGTAGTAGGGCAGCTAGAAATATAAAAAAAAATAAAATTTATTTAGCTTAGTGACTCACTGGAGTGCTGGGATGTGGAGGGGAAGGGAGCTGCTGGCTTAGGTTCTCAGTGGCTCACTAGGTAGGTGTCGCTCCAGACTCTGGGGTGGATCCCAACTTTAAAGTCGGGATCTTTCCTCAGTCTGGACTGGCTGAGTGACGTCAGCCGACCATCAGGTTTCAGCTCGCTGTCAGCTGAAAACGAGTCACAGTAGTGCAGAACGAATTACACTCCTTGTGATCCACAGAAATACAGCGAAAATAGCTTTGGCTGTACTGCTCCTTTTTTAAAGTCAGTGGCTACAGCCAGATATCTTGCATCTCTAGAAAGAGAGGTTGGCAGCCTCCATATTTCTCTGTGAATGGTTTCCTAGGCATGATGATGTTCAGTTCTGAAGTCCATGTTGCACACAATGCTTTTTCAATGTGTTGAAAATTTTTGGAGCAGATGACGGGTGTTCCCTTCCCTTTTGGATTAGACGGAAAAAGGCTTTAGTGGCGTCCACCGATCTGCTAAGGAGGTTGAGAAGAGTGCTGCTGTTACTCCTGATACTTTACTATGAGCCAGAATGAGCAGCTGCTATGTGTGCCTGCCATTCACTTCTGCCATTCTACGACCACAAAGCAATTGGGTTCTTTCATCCACTCTCTTGATGTGAAGGGCCTGATTGAATGCTGTTGGGCAAACTAGACAGAATTTTTTTTTTCACAAATCTCAAACCAATGCGAGTGTTGGCGGATCTGCTACAGACCTGAAAACTTAAATCTTCTTTTTTATTATGAATCCTCATAATAAAAATTTATATCCATTATTTAATAAACAGTGAGGTTGGCTATACGCTTATATATTTATGTACATTTGTTTAGCCTGCAGAGCAAAAGAAATTGAATAGATTTCGTTCCTCCATGCTAAACTGGATGAATGGATGACTAAATTTCCCCCTGTTGGACAATGACACAGGTGTTGACATATTAAAAAATTTGTCCTGGCTTTGGTTGATGTGTCCAGGATCTTAACCATGAGTCCAATACCATGTTGCGCACTAAAGCCCTGGAAGGGGAATTGCTTTTGCCCCTGAAATGCATTGGATGTCTTTTTTTTTTTTTTTTTTTTTTTTTCTTGTGTGTGTTTTTGTTTTTTATCTTTTGGTGGAATCAAATACTTTGAGCCAAAAAGCATGCCTAGCAAGTGCTTATTAAGAGTCCGCACAGTGGCAACATCTGATTAGATACAGTCACTTTTCGACTGGTGATTTTTCCACCCAGCTCCTTCTACAACATTTCTTCATATTTTTGACTTTTTCGACCCAGGTGGTGTCAACAGGGGCAATCGTGACTTGAATTTTGAACAATTCAGCAAGAATCATCTAATGTTTGAGTAAAGTGTGGCAGCATTGACTCTAAAATACCTGTTGATCCTGTCAGCAGCTGCTCTTCTTGTATAGGCTTGAAGTCAAAAGTAACTCAGCGGTTCTGGTTTACCACTGTTGTGCTATCCTTTTTTAGCTCCCTGAATCAGTCTACCGACATATGGGGGTTTATTTACTAAAGCTGGAGAGTCCAAAATCAGACTCAGTTCTGCATAGAAACCAATCAGCTTCCAGGTTTCATTGCCAAAGCTTCATTGAACAAGCTGAGGTTAGAAGCTGATTGGTTTCTATGCAGAAGGGAGTCTGATTTTGGACTCTCCAGCTTTAGTAAATAAACCCCTTGGTGTCCTGTACACTGTTGTGATCATGAGCAAGCCCGCCCAAAACATCAGATTGACAGCATAATTTCCAGTCTTCTGCCCTCAGAGCATGGGGAAAGAGGAGATAGTAGTGTGACTGCCACTAAAAATCGGGGGGTATTTTGTGGCATTCTTTCACGATTTATTTTAAGTACATCTATGCCCCCAGAATATGACCGTTTTCACAGGTTCTGTTGAGTAATTCATCTTCCAAGATCAGAACATGGATTCTGAAGTGCAATTTCAGTCCTTTTCTATCCCCTTAGAAATGCCTGCTGTGTGTTTTTACCTTATAAGGCTGGCGGGCTCCTAAATTCTTGTCCTAAAGAAAAAGGGGAGAGGAGCTGTGATTCCAGTGATGTTTTTTTTTTGTTTTGTTTTGTTTTTTTAAACGAAGGTGAATTTCTCCACTGTACCTACAGCTACAAAGGTCAGTCATGCTTATTTAAAATATTTACATATTCTGAACAAGCAGACAAAATAATTTAATAGTGCATAGTCTAGGCACAGGTCTATTTTAACCTACCACATTTGGGTCGAAAGATTATTAATGTGCTTTTAAAATTTTACAGATACTGTAATTACACTGATGGCCCAGTAAGGTCAGTGCTTGTACTAAAAGGACATCAAATCTGAAGGGTGCATAGGGCATCACAATTACTATCCACATACCTATTGTTAGTTTTGGTGCAGAGTTTTTCACAACAGGTCCAGTAAAGGATGTTATAGTTAAGGGCACATTCCACTTCCCAGGGGGCATTCGGTAATGGCTTTATGGCGTTCTTTTAAATTCTAATCCCTAATACAGTGCATCCTCATGGTCTTTTCAAAATCTTATTTTACATTTTAAGGATCTCCTTTGATGGGAAAATAAAAGCCTTTAAAAAATGTTCCTATAACTGCTTTAACCTTCTGCTACCTTGTTATTTTGTAAAGGTGCATGCAATTTTTGTACTTCCCGTCTGTTTTTAACTGCTAATGTGATTTAAATTTCCATAAAGGGTAGCGGGAACAAGCTATTTCAACAGACTTCTCTGTACAATAAAATGTATTAAAGAAAGTCAAGTCCCCTATTTCTGTAATGGTCCTCCACATTGATAACACTGTTAAGATTATGCCGTTTGGCTTTCTTTTCTTACCAGAGATGGACAAATCTCTCTCCATCAGTTTTCTAAAGATTCATTTGCCCATCATAAAAAAATTCCTAAGAGGGCTATGTGGTTTTTTTGAAATGTTATTTTGTTAGAAAGTCCGTTTTGGGCTTTCTTAGGACGTACATGGTTTTTTGTGGGCTTTTTTCAGATGAGAAGAATATGTGGTTTATTTATATAAGCTGAGCCTTCTAAGTCGGATGTACCTAAATAAACTTTCTTTTTCCGTTATTGGAGTGTTATGCCTCTTGGTATTAAAGTAGCACAACAGGGAAGTCTTTTATTCCACACTTGAAATACATGGCTGCTTACCGTTTTATCTGAACGATTTTGTAATTTTGGCAAGTCATTTTTTATTTTTTTTTTTTATTCATATACATGCTCATACCTACACATGATATACCTGCTCAATAAAAGAGGTGATGAGGGTGATCCACTGTTCAATGAGCAAGCTGGTGGTGGAGGGAAGACTCAACCAAAGTTGAATTGCTAAAGCCAAAAGATAAAATGCGCACAGTCCTAAGCTTTTAAGTAAAAAATATTTTCTTAGTCCGTATAAGGCAGCAATGGGCAAACTTCGGCCCGCGGGCCGTATACGGCCCGGCGGACCTTTCAATCTGGCCCGCGGAGCTAGGCTCCCGCTAGGCTCCTCTCACAGTCTGCCCTGAAGACCGGTGTAGCATGAAAATCTGTCTCCTATGAGGATCTGTCCCCCTCGACGTATCTGCGCATGTGCCGGAGATCGCCGATCGGCTGCTAATGCCTGAAACTGGCACATGCGCAGATACGTCGAGGGGGACAGATCCTCATAGGAGACAGATTTTCATGCTACACCGGAACGGCGCGGGAACACGGCGAGAGGAACGTGCGGAGCAAAGGTAAGTGAATTGACACAGGGGGGACTTGGGGACTTAATATGGGGGATGAATTACTATAGGGGGGATGAATTACTATAGGGGGGATGAATTACTATAGGGGGGATGAATTACTATAGGGGGGATGAATTACTATATGGGGGATGAATTACTATATGGGGGATGAATTACTATGGGGGATGAATTACTATATGGGGGATTAATTACTATGCTTACTATGGGGGAATATTACTATACTTACTATGGATGACACATACACATCATTCATCTACTCTTGGTCTGGCCCCCGGGTCCAATATATGAACCCATTGCGGCCCTCAAGTCAAAAAGTTTGCCCACCCCTGGTATAAGGTATGATAATTACAGTAATGAGATGTGTCCCTTGTGCTGATATTGGCAGTCTAAAGCTGGGTACACACTTTTTTTTTTTTTTTATTTTCACTCAACCCAGCATGCTGAATGAAAAAAAACTGACATATTTGCCATACTAACACTTGTGATGTTAGTGTGGTGATCTCCCCTGCTCTGCTATTGTATTCTGACAGGCACTGCCCCACCAACAGAACATCCTGACAAGTGCTCAGTTATTGGCTGCAAGAGCTGAGCGGATGCCCCTCCTCCTCCTCCCTCCCTCCCTCCCCCCCTCCGTCCCCCTCCCTCCTCCCTCCTCCCTCCTCCTCCTCGCGCTCTTGATGAGTTCCTGGGGCAGGTCCAGTGCTAATTTTAAACCCTCTGCACTAGAGTCATCTAATACAAATGAAGGGATGGACGCTGCTCAACTGAACCCCAGGAGTCCAATGTTGAGGAATGGCCTTTGCCGCTGTGCTGGCCACGCCCCTGACGCATTTCGCCTCTCGCCCACTGGGGCTTGGTCGCAGGCCTCCGTGACAGCCCCTGGTGGGATGGGCAAAACACATCAGAGAGCGTGTCAGTCCAGCAGTTGTAGCCATTCCTCAACATTGGACTCCTAGGGTTGGTTGAGCAGCGTCCATCCCTTCACTGGTATTGGCTGACACTGGAATTGTTGTTACTTGCCGGTGGGGTGAGCCTTTTCCTTCCATCGATAGCTTGAAATGGTACCATAATGTATACTTTTCCCTCCACACAAGAGGGTTTTCACTAGGACACCCTGCACTAGCACAAGAGACCCTTCCCATTTTGTGTGTTTTTTTGTTTTATTTTTATTTGTTTTAATTTAGAATTGTATTTGTCCCCTGTGGCTGTGCAGTGTAAATCTGTGCAGCTAGTTTTGTGATTTACAAACTATCCACAAACTCTTTGTTTTTACAAGTCAACAAGAATGCAAAAGCTGTTTGATGCAGCTTAGAAAAGAGGTCAAGTGCAGGATAGAAGCATCTGTGAAGGAACCTTGATAAAACACAGAAGTGTTTTGGACTGACGTCAACTGCAATCAGAATGCATGGAAAGCACCCGGCATCTGGTCATCTACACAAACCCTTACTTAGGAACACTGTTTAGGAGGCCATTAACCTTTAGCATGCTGGTTTGACTGAAATGCATGCTAACTGGAGGTATATTAAGAATCGTGTATTCGGTGACAATGACCAACCTTGACTTCAGCATTGCAGTGCATGATTTCTAAACCCTAAGCCACCATGCTGCTCATTTTCAGGTTATATGGATACTCCATAGTTGTGGATTAAAATATCTCTACCAAGAAGTGATTTTGGCATTTTAAGCTGGACTCCGCTCAAGGGGAGAAGATACAAATTATTAGCCGCACTTTGTTCAATAATTCATTATTTTTATTTTTATTTTTTTCAAAATGTGGCCAGCTGGGGGTGGAGAGACCACTGTATTTCATAGTCAGGTGGTGTAATCAGTCAGACGGTTTGCCAGGGCTGAGTAAATCTCAGAACTGGATGGACAGAATCGTAAATCCTTTGGCAATTAAATACAGAGATGACCTTCATAAAGACGTTTTAACAAATTTTCTGGAGTTTGGCTTTAAGTAATTATCACCCTGGAGGGTTTCAACTTTATCAGGGACATGATTATGAAGTCTATGGCCACCTTTTGGTTGATATACTGGTTCTGTGCGGAGATACAAATTTAGACACAATAAACTTTGTTCAATTTAGAAATGAGACCGTTGGCTCAGTTTGAATGTGTTTGGCTAGCAGCCCATTGCCCTACCTTCTTTTGATAGGAGCAGTGTCTCTTAGTCACATCAATGGATAGATGGATAGATGTCTGCAAATGTTCAATCTTTTGGAAACTCTGAAAGTACTTTTGGGTTGAGTGCCAACAGCTGCAGGAGTAGGGGTGTTTTTTTTTTTTTTTTTTTTTTTTTTTTTTTTTTTTTTGTAATATCCCCATATGCTTCTTTTTTTTTTTTTTCTTTTTATTTAGAACCAGAATGAGGAGATGAAGAAACAGTTAACTGATTTACAAGTGCAGCATAGTAATCTAAAGCTGGAACACCGCAAAATCATTGAGCTGCGCAACCAGCAAATATCTCAGCTCCAGAGAGACAAAGATAATGAAATTCTCAACCTGCAAGGTGAGTATCTCTGCCTGTGCTTTTAGTAAATTGTTTACATCTAGGTCTTTTTTTTTGTTTTGTTTTGTTTTTGGATACAGTGGGGGGAAGGGTTAGAATCTTTTTTGAAGTTTTAACTGTAGCGTCATTAAAGAGATTCCTCCTGATTTTTGTGTTCGAAGGACAACTTCTCAAAAGGCAAGTGAGGAAAAATCTGCAGCAGGGAAATGGACAATAAAGAGCTTACAGAGGTTCTAACACCCACCTACTCTATCCAAAACCAAAAAAAAAATGTTTTGTTATAGATACACCTTAAAGCTGAACACCATGTACACAATAAATCCAAGAGGAAATGGTCAAAATGGTGCTAGTGCTAATTCAACATATTTACAGTGACTGTGCGCTTGCCTATGCCCTTCTGTCTGCCACACATTCGGATTGGCCTGGTCACTATAGTGGGTTTCCTGACTGATCACTAGACTAGAAATATGTGGGAGGCAGCAGCATCACTGCCTTTGTGTGTACAGCGTGAAAGGAGCTTAATGGTGGTTTAAAGGTACATTGGACGCTATTCAAATAGCCGTAACTTCCTTTTTGATTTTTAGGGTCGGAGCAAATTCGATCATCACAGTCAATCAGCAAAGGTGGAACTTTATCACTTTTGCATCTATTTGACAACACTAAGATGCTTCAGTCATGAATTCAATCTTATTTTGAGCAACTTATGAGATTGCATGACGGAAACCAATACGATCAGTTAACTTTATGATTGTGTCTTCCAACTCTCAGTCAAAATCCACTCCCCCATGTTTGACAAATCAACTGATTTTTGTATTATTATCAATTAATAATTCTTATGATTCATAAAACTGCAGCTGCCATTTCACTACATGACTGTAAAATGGCCGTATTCCGTGAATTTGAGCCATGGATGGCTCTGTCAGCATCCTTCAGTCTGAAAATGGAAGGAGTCTTATAGAAAATTTGTCAGCTGAACAGCAGGTGCAGGCAATTGGATGCAGCCACTGTTCAGGTGCTGACTGTCAAATACAGTAGCTGGCAGGAAAGCTTTGTCCATTCATGTTGCTTAGCAGGGTTGGGGGGGATCAAGTGGTTTATATTGTGTTTGCTGCTTATGCCAGTGACACTATGCAACTGAGGTGCTGAGATATAACTGTACTTACAGTATGTGCAGACAAAAGCTGCCTATACGTTGAAAGAGGTGTGTGTGTTGTTGTGTGTTTTTGTTTTTTTTTTTTGTTTTGTTTTGTTTCGTTTTTTTTTTACTAAAGCATTTGGACTTACAGTACATATCCAGCTTTAGTCTGCACAATGTTACTGTTATTCCTCAGCACATAGGCTGTTCCTGCCAGTAACACTAAATATTTCATGTATGCTGGCCAACTGTCATTGCAGGTAATATGCTTTCAGTTAGCCTGGAGTTGAGCTTCAAAGGGATCAGTTCAAGCATAACCGGTATTTTGTTTGGTGATGGTAAATAACCCACCCACTAGGTTGTTATATTCCGCAGGGGCTCTGGTGATGAGATCGCCCAGTTGCAGCCGCAAGCTGTGACCTCTATACCTTGAAGACTCACTCAACCTGCTGCATTGTGCAAATGGGCATAGCAAATGACATTCCCCCCCCCCTTCTTTTTTTTTTTTTTTTTTTTTTTTTTTTTCTTTTTAAACCTGGGTTGAAAGTCTATTCCTTTTAATTACAGACCGGTTCTGTTACTGAAGGTAAACCACTGCCTAAGGCAGCCCATGAGTCAGGTTTGTTGTGTGTGGTTTTTTTTTTTTTTTTTTTTTTTTTCAACCTGCTGGTAAACCGGAGGGAAAAAAGCTGACTTTTTTTTCCTCATCCACATGGTCTTTGTATTCTGATGGCAGGGAGACTTCCCTGCCGTCCGAATACACTGATCACCATTGCAGGCTATAGCTCACAGCGCTGATCAAGTGGGGAAATCCAACAGGGTGGTTGTACAGAAGTCTATCTGGAGATCGACTTCTATGTAACCTCAACCTCCGTGTCCATACATGGATCGCAATTCTGCCCATCTCTGCTAAACCGGTCGAATTTTGATCTATGCATGGCCTATTTAAATCATTAACCATGAAAACTGAAAAAAAAAAATGAACAGTTGCCAGGCTTATTGATATATAAAACAACTAACAAGAAGGCAAGGCAGTCATCTGTGTTCATCATTCACTACTTGGTGAGTGACTGATCTGGAACAAATTTGTGCATATCCAAGGTCAACTTATCTGGGTACATGCTTAGTCCAGTCATAATCTTGTAAAGTGAGAATAAAGAAGACTGCCCTGGAGCCTACACCAAAAGCACTGGTAGCTCCTAAATTTCCATCCTGATGTGGACCTGCTTTAAAAAACAAAAGGAGCTCTTTGTCCTAAATGGCTGATCTGGATTTTACCAGCCTTTAGATGGGGGTTGGCTCTTGGTGAGTAGACATGGACTCTTGAGCAGCCTGAATCTACTTGTCAATACACATGGAAGAATAAAAGATACTGCTGTGCTTTTTGAAATATACCTGTAAATAAAATGTAACTGTATCGTGCAGCAGTCCTAATTGTGAAATAAACACAAAATAAAATTAAATACCATATAGACTGCGCATAAATGATATAAACTGGTTAGGGCGCAATCCCAATATGTGAAATTAAAGTGCAATCGTGCTGGATTCTTGATTGTGAACTCCGTATTAAAGTGACAGGTGTACATGCTCAGACTGGTGCCCCACATGGATGTACACTCACCATCATCCCATGACCACCTATCTCTAGGATGGTCACTAGTGCTTTTGTTGGGACTATCCCAAAATGCCACATTTTGATGGTGACCGCTGTTCCTTCTTGTGTGTTCCACACCGTTGCTGATGGTAACCAATGTGTATTCACCAGGTTAGGTTGTAAATATTAACCAGTGATCATTTTCTTTAAAGCTAGTGTAATAGCACTTTAATTTCACATATTGGGATTGCACCCTAAACCAGTTTATAGATGTGTGTTGTTTAATACTATAACTCCGGATATTAATTTGTATTGTTTATATCATTTATGCGCGGTCTATATGGTATTTAATATACATGGAAGCACAAGGAAGACCGTTCATGGTTAAAAAATAAGACTATTCATCTCATGTTCAGGGCCGTAATAGGACTGACCCCTCTTATAGGACTGACCCCTCTTATAGGACTGACCCCTCTTATAGGACTGACCCCTCTTATAGGACTGACCCCTCTTATAGGACTGACCCCTCTTATAGGACTGACCCCTCTTATAGGACTGACCCCTCCTATAGGACTGACCCCTCCTATAGGACTGACCCCTCTTATCTTGGCAATCTGTTTATTTTTTCAGATACTATATCGAAACTGCGTGAGGAAAGTAAACTTCTCAGGAAGGCACACCAAGATGTCCACTCACAGCTTCTTAGTGCCCAGGTAAACAGATCTCATTGGCTGAATGTAATTTTGCTTTGATGTTCTTTGGTTGAGGGTTTTGCTACAACTACGAGATTGGTATATGGGCAGATGCCACTCCTGTTTTCCTGAAATCAAAGATTTTTTTGTTGCCAAGCCCGAACAGCCTGATCCTATGTGTTGTGATAAGGCATAGGTATGTTTTGCGTTGCACACATTTAGTAATGCTTAATGCACCTGCACTGCAGTGCACCACAAAGCACACTACATTTCCACAATGCATCTGCAAGAGATGGAAAGTATCACGAATATTACTGACTAAGCTGCAGCCTGACTAGAGCTGAATGCTTGTTTCAAAGAAGACTCTGCAGTGTGTGTTTACGTGAGTGGATGAGGGGAATCATCACTGCTGTTGAATGCAGTTGCATGTTGTGTATCGACTACTGTTTCCTTTAAAGCATTCAGGAACGACACATTGTATTAGAACTTTTTATACCCTAAGACGCAAACTTGGTGAAATAGCCTTTGAAACTGAATATTTATGACTTTGGATTTTTTTATTAATTTTTTTTACTGGTTTAAATCCTGCTATATGAGGTACTTGCTATTTCCATACTGCTTTTATTATTGCACAATCCGCCATAATCCTTTCTGGTACTGTTGTGTTTTTGGCACATGTACATCCAAATGACTTGGGCTTTAAAGAAATTTAAAGGATAAGTTCACCTTTTAGACAAAGATAATAAATGCGCTTTTTTTTTTTTTTTTTGCAGGTAAAAAAAATGTGCATTTATTACTTTTGCCCAAAGGAGCTTGGAAAGCATTGCACCAGCGATCAGTTGATCGCTGATGCCATGCAGGTCTCCTCCAGACCTGTCAAAATAAGCAGATATTCTGACGGGAAGCTTCAATGAACTACCACGGCGCTCCACAGCACCATGGTAGTTCATTGAAAACTGCAAGCCCACAGCCGCTAAGGCTGTCGGGACTTGCAGTTCATTAATGGAAGTCCATGAATGAATGATGCGGCTGTGTGGGTGGAGCCCCACACAGCCATGCTGTTTTAAAATTTGACAAATAGTACGGGCAGAAGTCTGCCCATACGATCTGTCGGTGGGGGGGGGGGGGGGGGGGCGGGGGTTATGGCAACATGTTACATGTTCCACCCTAACAATGGTTGGAACATCTAACATGTTCCCAAAGGTGAACTTATAGTTAAAAATCTGCTGGAGTTAGGCTTCAAAGTGAGGAAAATTTAGAATCTATTTCAGTGGGGTTTTTAGTTTGGTGCAATAAAGCTGGCTGCTTTGCGCAGTTAACCTTCTTTTTTTTTTTTTTTCCCTGATACTGTTTTTTGAGCTGCGGTTTATTGCATTGGAAGAATCACATCGTGGTACAAATGAATGGCCAAGTATGTGACAAGATACACCGTGGGTCCAACCAAAAAAAGTAGAGAGACCTATCTAGGAATAGACGGTCCATCCATTGTGATGAGCGCAAATCCATATGCGGTCACTTGGAGCACAAGGAAGTGGTCACCTGTTTATCTGTTACTAATGGCACCAGCACCTGTTCGCCTATCTTTTGGTTTTTAAGCAACTATTATTTGAATGGGGCTTGCTAACACATTGGACATTAGTTGTATTTTCTGGTGTGTTATCTATTTTTTGTACTTTTTTTTTTTTTTTTTTTTTTTTAAATGTGGCAAACTGCTTAGTAACCTTGATTCACATTTTTGGCAGCACGGTCCAGATACACATTTTATATGGTGCATCCATTGCTAATTCTCATTCTCTAGATGCTGGTTTCCTGGCTCTTATGTTTGTCTTCTTGCTTCAATACTTTGCATCCTTTCTAAATATGTACACTTGCTTGAAGTCAGTAAGTCTGTTAGCGAATTTAGCTGGCTGGTGCACTAGCTATAGACTGAAGACTGCTATTCCCAAACCCCTTTGGAAGATGTTATCCATGTGTTTTTTTTTTTTTTTTTAGGTAGGGTTTGCTTTAAGCCATTACTTTGCCCAACATGCACCTTAATCCTGGCCTGATCCTTGTTAAAACAAAGAATTATCCTGTTTATTTCAGAGCTCCGTGACTTCTTATTTTAGAAGGATAAAAAGCCATATAGTACAGTGTACCTCTTATGTTGGCCTGCGGATAACGAAACAAATCAATTTTGCTTCACCCGGTTTTAGTATTGATTGTCTGGGATCACCATCCAAGGAAATTAAAGTGACTCCTGAGCAAGAGGACAAGCAGACTCTGAGATGAATTGCTTCATAGAACACACCATTTAATTAGGAAGAAGGGGGGGGGGGGATATTTGCATAGTAATTTGACATTTTCAGCTTCACTTCGACTCTTGAGTCTTTGACGATTCTTAATTTGAGGTTGCGTTTTGGCAAGCGGCTTCATTACTCCCGCAGTGATGATGTCAAGGGAGCGTGCTTAACAAGACCGTAATCTTCAAGCAAGGCAGGGATTTTTTTTCCTTCTGATGCAGGATTTATTTTGTTACCCCCTTGCGTCTCTCAAACTCGCACTGTAATTGGGAACTCACTCTGACTTGCTCCTGTGCTGTTGTAGGAATGGAAAAGATCATTATCTGAGTCTATAAACAAAACTGGCTATGCTTCATTGCTAGAAGTGTTTTCAGAGGTACTCACTAGGGATCACCTTGTGGAAAAGTTTGTATAGCCTCCTTGAACTGCAGTATCTTTGCCTATTCAGTCAGTATTTTTTATTTGATAAAAAAGGTGCAGTGCTAAAACATGTATATGTATATTAAAGTGCAAAGTGATCAGTAATATTTAAACATCCAAGATAGCCTAAAAGAACCTATGCATAAAAAATTAAAATATATACAATATATAGAGAAATATGCTTCATGCAGTATATCACCATCAGGTGATAATAGATGGTGATCAATGTCCCAAAAAGAGACGTGAGGATCCTTTCAAGATCACGATATCCGTGTGTGGGTAATAAATCCAAGGGTGCCAGATGCCGTGATTAGTTAAGCAAAATGCGCACTCACCAGAAGTGCGCTATAAACACACATTTGAGATATTATCCTGTCTCATCAGGTATGCTCAGGTCATCTGTCCCGGATTCAGCCAGGTCCACATAACACAGGAACTTTAGGCAGATGTCACAGCGTCTGGTCACGTCTGCGTAAGGTTCTCTGGGGTCCCTCAGTGTGTATCACTGTGTTGGGTCATCACTAAAGAGGGCTCTGCAAATGACGGCGCTCACAAGGAGAGCCCAATGAAGGACACCACATATCGTGATACATAAAAGTTCAGGGTGGCCACCAGCGGTGGTGTAACGCCTCAGTTGCTGTAGCCCCCCTGATGCATTTCGTGCTAGGCACTTAGTCATAGGGTGCGGGCCCTGGGGAAGTCCATAGACCTGTGTAAGCTACAACTCGAGTGACTTGCAGCTTACTCCTAGTGGCTTGATGGAGTGGCAAAGGTGAACATGCAAAGAAGAAGATCATACACTATAAAGTCATTGATTGGAAACCAGCATGGAGGATGGGAGTTGAGATTTCACTAGCTGCATACTTGTTCTGAGTCAGTGGCTCAGTAGTTAGTTTAGCCAGTACACCTGGCCTCTGAGTCTGCAATGGCAGCTCTTAAGCTTTTATTTCTTGGAGATAATTTCTAATCCTATTTCTTGTACTGGGGATCCCGCTCCAGACAGAAATAAATAAATAAAAATCGAACTGGAATTTTAACTTGCCCAACTCTGTTCAAAACCAAGATAAAATAATTTTGGATTTAGTTGAAATTGGAATGCAGAAATGATGAAATAAAAAAAAAATTTAATTTTTATGCTTTTAGCTTTGCCTGCCAAAAACTGACTTTTTTTTGTTCAGCCAATCGTGTTGTTTCCACATCTTTGCACAGCCAAAATTATTCTGCTACTCCTTGAATACTTCTTTGCTCACTGAATAGAGATTATACGCCGCAAGACCAGCTGAACAGCATTGCACTTTTATTTATTTATGTTTTTTCCTTTTGCAGGTAAGACCTAGGTGTACCTTTTTTATAAAGTGTTACTAAACCCAGGACCCTGCATTCACTATATCTGCTCTCCCACAGTACACAGACCATGGAAATAGTAAATATAAACGTAGTACCTTTTCTCATCAGCCGTATATAGCAGTCTTGTGACTTCTATCAGTGTCCAGCTGAGCACTGGTTAATCTTGTAGGAGGAGATTTCATTCTCTTCTGATTGTCCTATGAGGCTGCATAACCCTTGAACCTCTGGACAGTGCTGTTTGCCCTGTGCTGATCACATGCACGCTCCCAAAGAAAAAAATTACACTCCTGCAATACACACCAAACTGAGCATGTGCAGAGTGACTCCTAGAGGTCTGTACTATCAGCAGATGGATATGGGACCATAGAAGGGAAGTGTCAGAGAAGACCATATCAAAGAGCCTTTTTACACAATCTGCAGGATTAACCCCTTAGGGTCCACAGTGAATATAACAAGCATGCTTTACTGCATATACAGACTGATTTTACTGTTGTGGGTTTAGTAACACCTTAACTATGTATTTACCAGTTAGCCTAGATTTCGGCTTTAGGAAACCTCCGTTATGCAAACTCCATTTGAAGTAATGGAACATGAATCATGTAACAGCACTGGTGCTTGATTTTGTTCTGGATATTACATGGGAGCAGAAAGCCCTGTATAAGCTCTGCCAAGAGCACTGTATTTGACCAGCAATATACTACCTGTGAATCTTTGATTTACAGTAACAATCCAGTGATTTCACATAGACTGTCAAGCAGGCAGATCATTACACAGGTGAAGTACATTTATGTAAACTGCTATGCCTGATGGACTTGTGTGCAACCAGTCTTTTGATCCAGATGCCTCCTGTCTAACAATTCTGCTAGGTACTTGACCTTCACTGTAGAAAAGTTTGATCCTGAACTTCCCCTCCCAAGCCTGCTGTAAAGGGTTGGTACAAGTAGTTGTACACTGATATCCTCCTCTTCTGTC